TAACTAACATGCAATTGAATCTCAATTAAACATGCAAACATTACATTTAAACATTTATGGGTATTTTGGTCATTTCACATCGTATGATAAATTAACAAGTCAAATCACTCAATTAAGATTACCAATGTTAAACATTGTCATAATGAAGTAGCATGCAAAATTTCATACCAATCGAACATCAGACAATCACTCAATCGATTATATAAGATTAGAGACCTAAACATAAATATACAAAACTTAGGTACCAAACAATAACATACAATTGAGGGTTCTATTATACAATTAAGTGTGTTTAAAAAGTGATCACTCAAATCTCATCAAATTTCCAAATTAAGAGTTTAAGTAATTAAACAAATCAATTTCTAGGTTAAATTGAACTTACACAATCATTCAGGGGTCAAATTAGAATTTAAGATCACTTCATATCTTTAATGAATACAATTTCACCTTTTTTCATCTAGAAAAACAGCAAAGGGATCGATCCTCTATTGAAAGGGATCGATCCTTTTTCATGGGAGATCGTCCTTTTGAAAAAGGATTGATCCTTTGCAAAATAGAAACTTTGAAATCGATCCTTTCTCCTAAGGGATCAATCCTTTTTCTGAAAAACTACAGATTTATCTAGAACATGCAGATTTTGTCAACTAATCAACCACATAAAAGTAATCATAGACTAGGAACATGCTTGGACACCATTCAACCACTTCATATATGTCAAAATAAAGGTATAACATACTCTATAACACAAGTCAACAAATTAATCAAGGATTTGGCACCAAAAGTCAACAATTGCATAAAAGTTCATTTCAAGCACAAGTCACCTACTCATTTTTGGCATTTAAGTTCATTTCATGCAACCTATGAGTCTAACACATTTAGCTTACTAAGTTACACTTGACTAAACACTTCATGCACTTCTTTTGGGTATAAAACAATATTTGAATAATCTCATGCTTCAAGCAACAAGTTCATACTTATAAATCCAAATTCAAAAAATGAAACCAACATCAAATCCCAAACATAAATCGACTTATTACAAACCAAAATCCAGCATTATAAGTCCAACAAAGTGAATAATAGGTCTAAGTCCCAAACGTCCCCAAATTACCGCACAAGGTTTCCGAAAATCACATACCTATAGCTTTATTCCTTAGCCTTGCTTGATCACACCGATGCCAAGTTCCTCACCTCCAAACTTGACTTTAATCCTCTGAAAAATGTTAACAAAGATTGTAAGCTTATAAAGCCCAATGAACGACTAGTATTCAAAGCAATGCATATAACCAAGATAAAGATCAATCCTATATGTTCATGCATAACTTGTTCTTTACTCTACACATATAATTCAACATCTCATGCTTGAATGATCAGCTAATGTTTTTCCAAATTACTTGATTCCTAGATTAAACAATTATCAAGGACGATATAGTTTAAAGCAATCACAAAAATGTATGCACAATTACCTTCCTTGGAAAATCACACAATCACACAAATTTTTCCATTTTAAGATCAACAATTTTTGTTCTAAAAACAACTCACCATTGGATAAACGGACTCCATACAACTCCCGTTTGTCTTAAGGACTCACATAGGTCCAAAAGCACAAATTGTGAAGCAAACTCAATGCCCAACCTTACTCTGTATCTTCTCGAAGAAAAACTCAACGTACCATCCGAACCCCGTACAATATCGAATCACACACTAATACAAAACACATAGAGAACTCTTTCCTAGGCATGCCTTTCATATCCAAAGATCCTATTAAGAACAATAGCCAATTAATCAAATTCACCAAGAGCGGTTGTCAATGATGCATAATTTTCATATATTGATTGATTCAAATACATTTTGAAATACACTTACGGATTGTTGTCATAACCAACCCACATATTTGGACAGTGAGAATGTTCAGCTCATCCAATTCACATTCAGAATATATATAGATTTTCACAAACCGTTTCCAAAATCCTATGCACCATTTGTAACACATCATATTCATAATTCATTCTAATTTCCGGCACAAGTGGCTTCATATGTAAGTCAACATAATTCATATTCCATCATCATAATAATTAATCAAATAACACTATATTGGAATTACAAATGTAACACTACACAAACCTCAACCTTGAATCATGTTCATTTCCTAAGAATGAGAGTCACTCACCTTTCTGTCCGAAAATCGAAAACGCTTTCAAACATTACCTAAACTTTCACCAAACTCAAACACCAAGTTTCCTCAACTAACAACACAATAAGAACCTTGCAAAGCTAATTAACATATCAAAATCTAATATAAAAGAAAGCATAATCGTTTGTTTTTAAAACAGATCGCAAACGTCAAAAACACTAAAAACCTTACCGAAACGTCACTCCGGAAGCTCCAAACCAAAACGCATGAATCTCCACACTAAAACAGGATAAACAACAACTATAATCAACATCTAACTCAACTAGAATCGCATAAATTAACATCTACATACCTAAATTCCTAGATTCCCAAAAATACAAAAAATTGACATTGTTTTCAATAAATAAATATCCAAATCATTTGAAATCGAAAAAAACGATTTAATATAATTATGATCACTCCAAAAACAACTTACTTTCATTAAGAAAACCTCAAAACCAATTCATGAATTCAACACATTAATTAGCTCCAAATATCAATTGAAATCTTAGAAATTCTTTCAATTAAATCAACAAATCAATATAATCATTAACACTTAGTCACTTGCCCTTAAAACTTGAAAGAAAACCAAGGAAAAGATCTTACCTTGTTGGAAATAGATTGATATTGAGATCATCAATGGAACTCCATTATGATCAACCTTTAAAAACAAGAAGAGAAGAGAAGAGAAGAGAAACTTAAGAATTAAAATCAATATTGAGATGAGTGAATTTAGAAATCAAGAAGAAAGAGAGAAAGGATTGATCAACTTATTTTGAAGAAAATGAGAGAAAATTGAGGAAGTTAAGAGAAGTTACTAAAATGTAAAATAAGAAGGAAACGAAAAGCACGTGAATGAAAACAAGCAAATGCAATTTAGATTAAAATGAATCTAGATGGAAAAATGATAAAAAGGGAAAATTAAAACATTTTAATTTAGAAGGAAAAACTCTAAACATAAGCCTTGGTGCAGTTGTTATTAAAGTATGCCCAAAGACCAATCATATGATGATTGAAATAATACATTTATTTACCGATTTTTATTGAATAAATGCATTGCCAATATTATTTTCAGTTATATGTTTGTGTTTAACATAAACTGAAATATAATAAAGTACATATAATAACATTATTAAAAGATCCATAGTCAAGTATTATTATGGGCATGGAAAATAATAATACGCTTAAGACTAACATGTTATTGATTGATGACAATGAGTTGTCATTGACATAGAGATGTCAGAATTGATACATGATTATCTTGTTAGAGAATAATGTATTGGATTGAAACATCATGAGCATGTCTTGGATTATTATATAATAGTCATAACAATGCTCATGGTGATAACTATATGTATGATCCTCATCCTTGAGATCAATGTCATCCCAACATATATTGTTGTATGCTTTGATACAGTTAAACATGCTCCGTAACTGGTTGCACTATAGAGACTGTTATTGAATATATCTCGATATATATAGTGGGGTGTGTATGGTTAAGATAGGATTTGTCATTCCTACATAATAGAAAATATATCACATGCCACTTGACTGAGTGGGACTAGAAATGCATGGCCATGCTCGAATAAGTTGATATGTGATATCATAAATTATTTGTTAATTATAGTCTACTCTAGATATCAAGAAACAATAGATGAGCTATACAAGTTTCACTATTCTAAGACTTGTGCCTATTCTAGATATAAAGGACAAAATGATGTAATACATAAAAGAGTTAATCACGATGATGATATGTCAAATCATAATTTCTTGTAACTTAGGTGACAATGACATATTACTAGATGTCACTCATTGTATGTAATATTAAAATTGTTCTAATAATTACTACTAACGTTACAAGAACCTACAAGGTCACACCCTAGGATTGAAATGAACAAAGATGTACAATTTATTGTATGTCACTAAAATATATCTAGAGTTAATATATGTATATTTGATATATATATGATTTTAATTATCCCGAATACAGTAAGTAAGCATTAAAAGAATGTAATTTAGATTACAACTCTTTTAATTGATTCAGAATAATTAAATAAGTTTTTTTAAATAAATAATAAAGATTGTAATTCCGATTATAAGTCTTTAATGTATATTTAATTTGAATTAATTAAATAATATTTTATTTATTAATTCGAAATAACTTTAAAAACCTTAAGATGTTAGGGTAATTGATATATTTAAATGAGGTAAGGTCTAGCAGTTGTTTTTTACTTCAGCCGTTTTTGTCAAAACTGATTTTGGGAAAAGAAAATTTTACTCTTAATCAGGTGAACTAAGGAGAGGCCAAGATGTGTTTTCGTAGAGGCTTAGATTCAAACCGTTCGTGATCACCAGTTATTGTTGTTGTCTTTGTTGTTTTTCAAGGAACCAATTGTAAGTATTCACATCATTTCCTCACGATTTCGGTTTTACGTACTTGGATCGCTGGTGAGACCGTCGAGTTTTGTTTCTGCTGCGCCGTGGGGTGCACCGACGGTCCCAAAATTTGTTTCATAGACTTTGGACATTGTGAAAATTTACAAAAATGATCACCAAAATTATAATTTCCAATTCTTTCAATTCAATCACCAAATCATTTTATTAAAATTCCATAATTAAAATTAATCATATAAAATCACTTAAAACCTTTCCAAAATATTTTTAAAACCAAAATATGAATTTTAGAAAATTTTCTTCCTTTTTATCGGAAATCCAAAAAATCAACCTAAAACTGACCCTAACTACATGACCCGACTTTAGGACATTATAACTCTCTTCCCCTAAAAAGAATTTCATCCTAGAAATTATGTTAGCTAAATAACTGTGGAAACTAAGATCTCATCGACTCTTCCATCTCCCAAGTTGCCTCCTCAGTGTTGTGGTTACGCCAAAAAACTTTTATCAACGGAACGACCTTGTTCCAAAGAACTTTCAAGTCCCTAGCCAAAATCTTAACATGTTCTTCCTCGTAAGAAAGATCCTCAAGTACCTCAACCTCATCAACTGAAAGTACATGCGAATGATCCAACCTATATTTACGCAACATTGATACATGAAACATGTTGTGAATACACTCGAGCTCAGACGAGAACCTCAAATAATACACAACTGACCTAACACTCTCTAACAACCTCAAAACATCCTATAAACCTCGTTCTAAGCTTACCGATATTCCCAAAATGTAACACCTTCTTCTAAGGCAAAACCTTAAGAAACACCAAGTCACCCACAGCGTACTCAACCTCTCGATGCTTCAAATCGGTATACGACTTTTTCCTATCAAAAGCAACCTTCAACTGATCCTTAATCAACTTAACTTTATCATCAGTCTCTTGAATCAATTCTGGACCAACAACATGTTTCTCACTCAACTCAGTCCAACACAAAGGAGTATGACACTTACGCCCGTATAACACCTCAAACAGAGCCATCTGAATACTAGCATGAAAACTGTTATTATAAACAAACTCTACCAATGACAAATAACTCTCCCAAGAACCAAACAAATCAATCACGCATGCCTGAAGCATATCCTCCAAAACCTATATCACATGCTCAGACTGCCCATCTGTCTGCGGATGATAAGTTGTGTTCAAACTAAGCTTCGAACACAAAGCCTTATGCAAACTTCGCCAAAACCTCAACGTGAAGATCTACTATAATCCGAAATGATCTACAAAGGAACTCCATGCAACCGCACTATCTCTGATATGAACAACTCATCTAACCTCTACAACAAACACGTAGTATGAACTGGCAGAAAATGCGCACACTTAGTAAACCGATCAACTATCACCCAAATCTAATCCTTCTTTGATGGTGTCAATAGCAGACCTACCACAAAGTCCATCATAATATGTTCATACTTCCACTCAGGAATACTAATCTATTGCAATAAACCCGAAGGACACTAATGCTTAGCTTTAACACGCTGACAAACCAAACATCATCCGACAAACTCAACAACAACGTGCTTCAACCCAAGCAACAAAAATAATGCACGTAAGTCACGAAAAATCTTCGTACTACCCGGATGCTTCGCAAACGGTCCACTATGTGCCTCCAAAAGAATATCACGCCTCAGACCCTCATCCCTCGACAAACACAACCTACCTAAAAAGCAGAAAATAACCTCAGAGTTCAAGGAGAGGTCACCCCAACATCATCTCACACTAACTGAAACTTTTCTTTCAACTTCTCATCACTTGGTTGCAAATCATGAATACATTGAGACCACGTAGACTTAACTCGCAACTCAGCTACTAACGCTCCATCCTTATCCAAACTCAAACGAGCAAACAAGGCACGTAACTCACCCATTGACTTACAAATTAAGGCGTCTACAACCACCTTAACCTTACCCTGATGGTACTCAGTTACACAGTCGTAGTCCTTCAACAACTCAACCGAACACATCTGCCTCAAATTCAACTCATGATGAGTGAGGAGGTATTTGAGACTTTTGTGATCAGTGTAAATAATACACTTCTCACCAAACAAGTTGTGTCGTAAAATCTTCAACGCAAACACTATTGCGACCAACTCTAAATCGTGTGTAGGATAGTTACGCTCATACGACTTCAACTACCTTGATGCATAAGCAACTACATTTCCGTCTTGCATCAGTACACACCCAATACCCACAATTGACGCATCACTATAAACCATAAAATACCTTCCCGACATCGGTTGAACCAACACTGGAGCCTCTATCAAAGCTAACTTTAACAACTCAAAACTATTATGCCTTTCACTCGTCCACTCAAACTTAACATCCTTTTGCAACAACTTAGTTAACGGGGCAGCTACCCGCAAAAAACCCTTAACAAACTGTCTATAGTACCCTAATGACCCAAGAAAACTACGAACCTCAGTAACACTCATAGGCGGTTTCCACTCAATTATCGCCTTAACCATACTCGGATCAACTCGAATACCCTCGACGAAAACAACATGACCAAGAAACGCCACTTCACCTAACCAAAACTCGCACTTAGAAAACTTAGCATACAACTTCTTTTCCCTCAAAACTTCCAAAACAACCCAAATATGTGAATCATGATCCTCCTCAGAAGCTAAGTACACCAATATATTGTCAATGGACACCACCACAAAATGATCGAGATAGGGTGAAACACACGGTTCATCAAGTCCATAAAACCAGCTGGAGCATTAGTTAAACCAAATGACATCACTAAGAACTCGTAATGACCATAACGTGTCAGAAAAGTTATCTTTATCACATCCGGTTCACTAACCTTTAATTGATAGTACCCATAACACATGTTGATCTTAAAAAACACCTTGGCACCCCTAAACTGATCAAACAAGTCATCGATCATCGATAAATGAACCGATTCTTGATCGCCAAATTATTTAACTGACGATAATCAATGCATATTTGTATTGTATCGTCTTTCTTCTTTACAAACAAAACTGAAGCATCCTACAGAGAAACACTCAAACGGATAAAACTTCGATCCAACAACTCTTGCAACTAAACTTTAAACTCCTTCAACTCCTTAAGCGTCATGCGATATGGCGTAATAGAAATAAATATTAAATCATTATAAGTCTCTATACGAAACTCAACCTCACAATCAAGTGGCAAACTTGAAAGCTCTTTTGGAAACACATTCGAAAAGTCACGAACCGTGTGAATATCCTACACACACAACTCCCAACCACCCAGATTAAGTACATAAGCCAAGTATGCCTCAAAGCCACGACCCAACATCCTGCTAGCATCCAAAGGCAACACAACATTATAAAGAAACTCTGATCGCTCACCTACAACCACTAACTCAACATTGCATGTCATCTTCAGAATTGCCAGAGATAACTCAAAATCCAAGTACACATGATTCTTGCGCAACCAATTCGTACCAGAATGACGTCAAAACCATAGAACGATAACTCCATCAAATTGACCAAAAAAACTCACAATGAATAACCAAAAGACACCTACCATACACACGATCCACAAGTTCTCTCTTACCCAAAGCTCTAGTTGCAACAAAACCCATGCTCTTAACACAAACAAGAACACTCAACCAACTAGCCAAACTACCAAGGATATAAGAGTGTGTAAAACCAGAATCTATCAAGGCAAGCAAAGGAAAAGACTAGCAAAAAAGTACATGTGATCACGTTCGTCGGAACACAATATTGATGATCACGAATCACATACACTCTAGCAGGTCCACTAGTCTTAGCCACCTCAACATGACAATGGCCACTGCCACAAGCCTGACCCATCGGACCACCTGTACTAACTCGACCACCTTCTCTGCCTGGAATAAGTGCCCCATCTCTAGGATTAGCTATCCTCGAACAATCTCACAACTGATGACTCTTTTCGCCATAACAAAATCCAGTAGTACACCAACACTCACCCAGATGACTCTTACAACAAGACCAAAAAAGTGGAAACTACTGCCAACCTCCAAACGATCCAAAAAATCTACCAGACTAGCCCTGATGAGAATCAAATTGATCTAATTCGTGACCTCTCTTAGCCAAACGACTCTGAAAACTAGTGTCACTGAACCTCTTTCCAAAGAACTCCATGTCTGGTTCACCCAAAGTACTCTCGACATCCATTGCCTGATCTACCAGAGTATCGAACACCTCTGAAGACATGGTAACCAAGTATTCATGAATCTCTCTCCTCAGACCATCCTTAAACCTTTTACACCTCACAAGCTTAGTCAGTATAATCTCTCGGGCATACTCACTTAGACGAACAAACTCAACCTTGTACTCAGATATCGATGAATAACCTTGAACCAAGTCGATAAATTTTTTATTCCTCGTGTCAATATACAGTGTACCCAGAAACTTGCACCTAAACACCTCCAAGAAGTCCGACCACGCCAGTCTATCCTCATTAAAACTCTTCTAAGTTGTGACCCACCAACGATGAGTGTTACCCTGAAGTAAGGACGTAACACAACCTATCCTATTAGGGTTGGTACATCCTATCTATTCCAGAACCTGGATAACACTCTCCAACCACTACTTTACCACTGTCAGCTCAGTACAATAAACACCACTAAACTCTCTAGATCCTAAATCCCACATGCACTATAGCGGTAACCCTCTAGCAGTTGGCACCAGTACAGGAGTATGCACCTCAACCGGAATGGCTCAACGCAAGCTCTCATAAGCGCCTCAGTCAACACATCTATAGGAGGGTTCGATTATGGAACTACTAGCAAGGGTCCATTAGCACCACTTCTGACCTCGATCGTATTTACCCCAATAGTAGGATAACTCAACTCTGGAGCCCCAAAATAACACGTCGCTGCAATGCCATTGCTCTAACTAGACACATACAAACCAAAATCAGAGTGAGAAGCGCACCATAGATCAAGGCAATACTGCAAAAACATTTCAATACTATGTGGGAATTTGGTTCATGTTTCCTACCCCGACCTACAATAGCATACACATGCCTAGTGTAAGAGTCTCAACCAGATACCTGAGCGTACATTAGGTTCTAATCGTACTGGATAGATCAAGATCCATATTACACATAATTCACGAAAGTAAAAAAATTAAAATCTCTTAATATTCTTCACATACAATATTTAATGTAACTAATATGAAATTAAATCTCAATTAGACATACAAAAATTACATTTAAATATTTAGGGGTATTTTGGTCATTTCACATCATATAATAAATTACCAAGTCAAATTACCCAATTATGGTTACCACATGTTAATCATTATCATAAGGAAGCATCATACAAAATTTCATACCAATCAGACATCAGACAATAGCTCAAACGATCAAACAATATTAAGGACCTAAACGTAATTATGCAAATCTTACGTACCAAACAATAACATATAATTGAGGGTTTCATTATGTAATTAAGTGTATTTAAGAAGTGATCACTCAAATCTCATCAAATTTCCAAATTAAGAGTTTAAGTAATTAAACAAATCAATTTCTAGGTTAAATTGAACTCACATAATCATTCAAGGGTCAAATTAGAATTTAAGAACACTTAGATCTTTAATGAATGCAATTTCACCTTTTTTCATTTAGCAAAACTGCTAAGGGATCGATATTTTCTTGAAAGGGATTGATCATTTTTATTTTTCATGGGGGGGTCAATCCTTTCTAAAATAGAAACTTTGGGATTAGTCATTTCTCCTAAGTGATCGATTATTTTTCTAAAAAACTACAGATTTATCAAGAACTTGCATATTTGGTCAACTAATCACCTACATAAAAGTAATCATGGACTAGGAACTTGTTCACACACCATTCAACCACTTCATACATGTCATATAAAAAATGGTATAATATGCTTTATAACACAAGTCAACACATTAATCAAGGATTTGACACCAAAAGTTAACAATTGCATAAAAGATCATTTTAAGCACAAATCACCAACTCATTTTTTCCATTTAAGGTCGTTTCACGCAACCTAAGAGTCTAACACGTTTAGCTTACAAAGTTACACTTAAATAAACACTCCATACACTTCTTCTGGGTCTAAAACAGATGGTTGTCATGATCAACCCATATATTTGGACAGTGAGAAAGTTTAGCTAATCCAATTCACATTCAGAATATATATAGATTTTCACAAACCGTTTCCAAAATCCTATGCATCATTTGCAACTAATCATATTCATAAATCACATTCTCATTTCAGACACAAGTGGCATCATATGTAAATCAATAAAATTCATATTCCATAATCATAATTAACCAAATAACACAATTTATCGGAATTACAAATGCAACACTATACAAACCTCAACCTTGAATCATATTTATTATATAAGAATGAGAGCCACTCATCTTGTTGTCTGGAAACTGAAGACGCTTCCAAACACTACCTCCACGTTCACCAAAATCAAAACACCAAGTTTTTTCAACTCAAAACACTATAAGAACCTTGCAAAGCAAATTAACACATCAAAATATAATCTAAAATAAAGAAAAATCATTTGTTTCCAAAATAGAGTGCAAACATCAAAAACACCGAAAACCTTACTGAAACATCACTCTGGAAGCTCCAAACCGAAACACATGAATCTCCACAATAAAAGATGATAAAAAAACAACTAATAAACTTCTAAATCATCTAGAATCTCACAAATTGACATCTACAAACCTAAATTCTTGGAATCCCAAAAATACCGAAAATCAACATTGTTTTCAAGAAATCAATATCCAAATAATTTTTAATCAAAAAACTGATTTAATATGATTATAATCACTCCAAAAAATAACTCAATTTCATTAAGAAACCCTCAAAACCAATTCAAGAATTCAGCACATTAATTAGCTTCAAAAATCAATTGAAATCTTAGAAATCTTTTCAATTAAATCAACAAATCAATAGAATCATTAACACTTAGTCACTTTCCCTCAAAACTTGAAAGAAAACCAAGGAAAAGATCCTTACCTTGCTGGAAATATATTGAAATTGAGATCATCAATGGAACTCCATTATGATCACGCTTTAAAAACAAGAAAAGAAGAGAATATATACTTGAGAATTAAAATCAAGAATGAGATGAGTGAATTTAGAAATCAAGAAGAAAAAGAGAAAGAATTGATCAACTTGTTTTGAAGAAAACGAGAGAAAATGGAGGAAGTTAACAAAAGTTACTAAAATATAAAATAATAAGGAAATGAAAAGCACGTGAATGAAAACAAGAAAATGTAATTTAGATTAAAATGAATATATATGGAAAAATGGTAAAAAGGGAAAGTTAAAACATTTTAATTTAGAAAGAAAAACTCTAAGCATAAACATTGTGAAAATTAACAAAATGATCACCGAAATTGTGATTTCCAATTCTTTCATTTCATTCACCAAATCATTTAACTAAACTTCCATAATTAAAATTAAGCATTTAAAATCACTTAAAAACTTTCCAAAATATTTTTAAAATAAAAATATGAATTTTAGAATTTCTTTCTTCCTTTTTATCGGAAATCCAGAAATCGACCCTAACTACCAGGCCCGACTTTAGGACGTACACACTCTACTCAAGGTATGCCACTGCACCTATGACTCTCAATGTACATACAACAGTCTTTTATATCCAAACCTCATATTAAACATTTGTTCAAGAACATCAATAAATGTTAAAATATTATATAAACACATCCATTTGTTTTAGGATAGTTCATACCCTAAAACCATTTTCATAAAACTTTATGAAAATACGCCATAATACAATTCAAAACTTATCTTTTCAAAATCACTCGAGGTTGAGTCATCGCAAGTCTTCATCTCTTCATATACATTTATAATAAAATAATGCACTAACCTGGTATGCCTCACTATTAAGCCTTATTATCGATATCCTCTTACTCTTGTACTTTTTCCTTACCTTTAGCCTTGTTTGTATCACAAATTTGATCACGATCTACAAAAGCACCAATACACAACAGATACAAATATAAAATACATGTTAATATTCTTACTAACATTTTATGCACATAATAATACCAAGGTACTACTATTTATGAATTCTTTTATAATTCATGTTAACCTTTCCATATTTATTAAAATGGTTCCTTGCCATTTTTCTTCAATTCAAGTCTCAATCAACTTAGGGTTTGTTTGTTTCCATATAATTAGTTTTTTTTAAATGTTTTCCTCATTTTCCATTGTTTGGTTGGCGGAAAATAGATGGTCAATTTAATTCATTCTAGTCAACTGAATTTTCATTGTACTTTTTTGGAAAATGACTTATCATCTGATTTTATATATGTAATATTAATATATTATTTTAAGATCATTTTAATAAAAATAATAATTATTAAATTATATTTATTGCTAATTTTGATAATATAATATTATATATTATGATTATAGTTATATTTACACTTTTATTTTAATAATATATAATAATTTATTAATAAAATTAATATTATTTATTAATTTCATTGAAATAATATTATTGAATGGTTTAATATTTAATATATACTCTTTAAAATATAAAATTATATTCTAATTTTAATATTATAATTTTTAATATTTTAATAATTTTATTATTTTAATAAATAATTCATATAACTAATAATATATTATTTTCATTATAATGAATAATTTATAATAATTTTACTTTAATAAAATATAATAATTGTAATACTTTTATTTAAAAAATTATAGATATAATATTTTTATATTAATATTGACATAAATAATATTAAATAAATTATTCTAATTATTTAAAATAAATATTATTAATTTGTTAATAAATAATATTATTTATTTTATTTGATGTTTATAATAAATAAATTTTTAAAAATTTACTAACTAGTGGAAAATGAAAACAATATCATCCAAACACCATAAAATTATTTCTAGAAAATGTTTTTTAAGAAATGTAATTCATTTTACGGAATTCATTTTTTAGAATATATTTTCTATGAAACAAACGAACCCTTACTTAAATTTCTAGCCCAATACTCAACAATTACACCAATTCCACTTAAGTCACTAACTTTTCCATATTTGCAATTTGGTGCTCAAACATTGCCAACTTTTCTAAATATTCACATTTCACATTCTAACACCAAAATCAACACTCTAACATTAAATTCTAGCATGGTACAACAACTATTAAACAATTAAACATTAATCCTATAACTTTTCATAATTGGTAAATAGGTCTCCAACTATTAAAAAATTAATAAATGGTCCCCAAAACTTTTATAAGGCTTGTATAACCTTCCAAATATCATTTCTAAGCATAGGGATTTTTTTCATAATATTTCCCCAATTATTTCCTTAGGGCCAAAAACTATAGGGTTTATGATTTAGTGATTTTCATTTGATTCAAGCATGGATTCCACCT